CCCTGCAGCTTCCCCCCCCTCTCCCGCTGCTGGCCCGCGCTTGCCGCCCTCGCCGCAGTGCTAGTCGCTGTTCGGCGCCGCGGCGGGCTACTTTGCGTTGGGTTGCGAAAAGCGCGCCCGCAGGGAACCTCCGCCGCATTTTCCTCTTCCTCGCTTTGGAGTCGCTGAATAAAAGATAAAAGGCGATGAGAGAACAGCCCGAAGGGTAAGTTTCATGTTTATATTTCCTCAATAAGTAAATAAATAACCCGTTCAGTGGTGAAAGTCACGAGCCAAGCGAGGTAGTTAAAGATGCATTAAACTTCTGGCCACATCTTTACATGGGGAATTTGATTTTCAGCTTGGGAGTCCTCCCTGCCAGGGAAGGAGGACTCCCAATCTTTTCTTTGATTCTTAGTGCAGGTGTTCTTACTGACTGGCACACGCCTAGATTAACCCTTTCATTTACGGCTGCGGACCCCAGAGATTAAAGGTTTCTCCCCAATGCAAGAACACCAGGTTGTTGTTTTTTTAAGGTTGCTTATCCTGTCCGTGTATATATATAAAATAGTTTTCCCGACCCCAAACCGAATTCTTCTTACATTTCTGCCGTTCTGTGGATTTTGTTTTCTTAAAAAGCCTTAGATTTTCTAACCTTGCCATTTCAAACTGCCCTTTCCAATCGTGTTGTATGCGTTTTGTATCTTCATGCGTAAGATAGCCCCCGCCCCCACCTCCGGGGAATCATCCGATTCAGCCTCATTTGTGCAAAGACCCTGGAGAAGAAACCATAGTATGCCTTTCATTCACTATGCTGAAAGGTCAAATTTCTGCTTGATTTCTTCTGGGAATTGGAACTGACATTTAATTCAGTGCATTCTTTCTCCGCAATGTGCTTTCCTTGTCTTGATAAATGTGGTCTAGTTAGAACATGCTGGCTGTATAGGAATGAATGAAACAATGCAGGTTGGAAGCAGCTGAGCAGGAAGTTGGAAGGAGGGAAGCAAGATGGTATCAGATGTTTGTGAAATGTACACTGGAGAAAGCAGTTGGCCTCAAAAAGGAAAACTTTAGCAGCCAAATAAGATAATTGTTTTTTAGATATATCTTGAAAATTGTTTATTGGCACTCATTTTTCAGAGGATGGGGACAAAGTGTCAATACCATTTGTGCATGTATTATTTTTCTGTAAATATTCTTGTTTTATTAAAAAAAAACTACAATGGGAGAGCAGAGAAAATAAAGAATTAGAACTGTATATATTATATTGAGTCAAATACATTTCATATTGTATGAATATTTTCCATATATGTTTTGTGCATTTCAAAGTCCAGGCTATTTTGTAGGAGACAATGGTTTAATGTAGTACAGCCAACTATTTTTAAATGTTTCTTGGGAAAAGAACCCTCACTTTTTAATGTATTTACTTCTGAAAGCAAAAAATATTTTACATTGGACATGCAAGATTAAGACTTGAGGCTGTTCATTATAAGCCGCTTGGCCCATTCTCACGAAGAAGTGGTTGCAGACATTGTTTCATTCTGAATTTGACAAAACCTTGCAGTGAAATTGCTTTGGCAGAAGTGGAGTGAATAAGCTTTGAAAAGCAAATAGATCAGTGGGCAAGTAACAACAGCTGGAGGTATTGGCTCCCAGCTACTCTGAGTGCCTAAAATAAAATATTACATGTCAAAAGAAAGGCAGAAATAATTACCATATTATACTCAGCAGCTAACAGTTGCTCCCCTCTGCTTCTACTTGATATTAGTGTAAAAACTTTTAAAATGTATTCCTATCTGTTATTGGAATTCTGAAAATCCTAGACAAAACGTGCTCCAAGGATTAAAATGAAATAATTTCCGCATGTGGGTAGGCAGTCCTCTTTAAGTGTGAGAAGCTGCTGCTTTCTCCATTACTATTCCCTCATTTTCTCCAGATAATACTGTAGAATATATAGAAAAGCCGATTTTCAGTTTCTGCCTCCAGAATAAACTATTAAGGTCTCTTCAGTAGAGGCTTCCTTATTATGTTGGATGCCACCCTTCACTCTAGTTTTCTGTTCACTCATGCCTTTAAATTCTATATACAGATATCTCAATTTTATTTTTTTAATTCATTTTGGGATGGTGTGAATTTTATGTTGTTGCATAATTTATGTTGTTTTTGACTGTGAAGGACTCATTTTTAATTTTTTTTTCTGTTTATTGTAGAACTGTCCACAGAACGTGGTCCTCTTTATAATAAGTAATATAAGTTCCTACTTAATTTACAGCAGTGATAACATACCATATTGAAAATCAAAAACAGTTGTAACAGCTCTACAATTTAAATCACTCTAATTGTGCAGTATAAAATTATGCCTTAATTTTTAATTATTATTAGATAGGTGTCATTGATTCCCTGTTGCCATCTGACAGTATTTTGTTATTTTTCAGTTATGTGTACTGAATATATAGTGTACTTTTATCATATGGATTGGGAGAGTAGGACACAATTTACTCAAAGGCTATGGCAAACAAAATACAATTTACAAGGTGAATTTGTCATGGCTTACTCACTTTTCATCTTTCATTTTCAGCTTCTTAGGGGAAACACATAATGTATGAGTGTGTTTGTGTGTATATACAAACACGCATACAGTGGTAGTAACACAATAAAAATTTTCATATATGGATTACATTGAAGAATATAGTTTAAAAATGTAGTTAAAGATTTGAATGGAAAAGTTCTGATGTAAATTTTTATTGTGTTACTACCAATGTATTTTAAAGTCAAATTGTAATAAAGAATGCGTAGTAAAGAAAACTAAATTGGAAAGGTTTAGTAATGAATTCCATTAAAAATAAAGCAATGCTAAGAATATATTTAATATTCTCATAAAATAAAATGTTTAATTTGAAAAGACCTATGCATAATTTTTCTACAAAAATCATTACTTATCTACTTTGGCACAGTCCTATTTTGTTTGTTTTAAATCATGCCTTTATCAGCTGAAATAAGGTCATTTTGCAGAGAGGATATTCTGGGTGCCAATGAAATTTAAACTGATAAATCTCCTGGATATTTGATCATAAATTAAATTATGTTATATAAATGTATTACATTCAGCATTTAGAATTACAATGTACCTCTGGTATAGATGAACATTCATTCAATCATGTTATACTTCTAGTTATAGATATGCATTCTTTAACCAGATACCTGAAAATAACATTAAAGTGGTTCATTATGGATGATGCTCTGTGAAAATACGTTTTTCTATAATTTTATATATGGAAAACCTGATAAAATTTTCGATAGTCAAGATGGCCAACTGGTAATCTGGGATGAAAGAGGGATCTCAATATTTTGGCTATCACTTTATATGCTATATGTCAGCAGTTACCCAGATTGTTTCATCTGCAAGTGAAAAAAGATGTTCTTCCTTTTCATTTTAGTGTTTTGGCTAGTTGCAGAAAACTGTAACAGTATGTTCTTTTTCCTAAATCATTTGTGTATGGCGCTACCACTAAACTGTGTTAAACTAAGACAAAAAGAAGCATTTTGTTGCTATTGGGTAAAGGGAAAGATGTGATCTGAATATACAGTACATCAAGTGTTACATTTTGGAGTTCTCAGTTTGCTTCAGAAAACTGGAGCAAGAATAATTTTAGCCAAACCTTTCTTGTGCCTTTCTTGCTTTTTCAAAAACATGGGAGACCTCCCATATTCTATCAATAAGTCAGTATTCTGTTTGTATGGCACTGATCTTCCCACTTTACCTATCTGCATCTAACAGGAGGAAGGGGTATTGTGCAACTCATTCAGTAGAATGCAGATACATTTATTACTATCAGAAATCCTAGTAACTCAGTAACTGTTTTGTTGATAGATTTAATTTTAGAATGCTTAAGAATGCTAGTTTCTTCCATTTGTAAGAAATAAGGTGGTGAAAATGGTTCGGATAGCGTATCTCTTTCACACACTGTCATAATCAGACATTGTCGGCCTTTCAAGTTAGACCAGACTAGGGAACCAAAGTCATGCATGCTAATACTACTTTTATTATAAAGGTATAGTAACAGAATCTTAAGTATGAATGCGCTTCCCTCTCCCCCTTTATCTTCGTGAGAACTTGGCGGGGGTCTTTTCTGGGATGCTTTCTCAGGTTACACTTCTGGCCCAGACTCAGATTTCTTTTATCTGACCATTGTCTTGGTTGCTGCTCTTCCTTCTGTTCCTCAAGATTATTTCTTCTGTCCATTACAGATGTTCTCTAAAGGAAGCAAAACTTCCTCTGGGAGCAAATGAAAGTAAAGCTACGTATTCCTCCTTGACAATTTTAATGGTAGTTTGGAAAAGCCTTTAATACTTCATCCCTTGCACTTCTACCAGTCTTGATCCTTACAGCTTTCCTTCCTTTAAAGAAGGAAGAGGTTTTCAGCTACCTTACATGGATAGCATATTTAGCTTGTAATTTGAGGTTGTATTATATAATGATTAATTCACACCAGACATTTATCCAGAGAGAGTGACTTGGTGTACCATTTACTTCCAGTATTTGTGACCTGCGTGTGAATGTTGGATGTATATTAATGGATTCCAGATACATGACATCCTGGAAGTTCTCGTAGGTAGATCACAGTCTTGCCACATGTATATTTTTTTGATTAATTTCCTAGGCAAATAATGATAAGCCCTACTATATATCCAATATGCTTGAGGCGATGGATGGATGGACTCCCTTTTTCTTCAGTCAGTCTTAAAGAAACATAGTGTGGTATGCCTCAGCCTAATAGAAGAACAATGGAATAAAGCTTGATATTTGTTCCACAGTACGTGCTACAGTAGGCGCACAGTAATCTTTGATATTTCAGACCTTACTGAATGTATGTATCGGTAGTCCTCAGTTAACAATGGTAATTGGAACTGGAATTTCTGTCACTAAGTGATGTGGTCATAAAGCACATTGTCAGTTGAGCACATTGCTTAACAATGGCAATCTCAGCAGTTCCTGTGGCTGTAGTTAACCAAGTCCCACCAGCCCTTAGGCGAGGGCCCACCCCCATCCAAGCCATTCCCAGCTTGGTCCCTCCCGGCCCTGAGCCTCGGTAAGGTAAGGGACTGCCTCCTCTTGAACTCCCCCCACCTGCCCTTTTGGCCACCAAATCCACTATACCACGCATCACTGTACTGACTAGGGCCTTCTTTCGTGCCACTTTCTTTTGCTTCAGTGCAGCCAGGGCTTCTCTTGTGCCCTGCCCATGGCCTCTGTTCACATGCCAGCCAGAGCCTCCTTTAATGCTCCTCCCAGGACCTCCATTCGCACCCCACCCAGAGTCATAAATGTGGGTAGTCCCAAGTGGGCCTGAATCTTGTTCACAGAGGATGGTGCAACAGCTGGAACTTTGAGACCGGTCGTAAGTCACTTCATTCAGCACTACCATATTTGAATGGTTTGTACAGGTAGTCTCTGCTTACTGATCACTCATTCAGTGTCCATTCAAAGTTGCGATAGCGCTGGACTTATGACTGGTCCTTGACGTTCCAGCTTTCGCAGCCCCACCGTGGTCACGTCATCATGATTTGGGGGCTTGGCAACTAGCTCACATTTAACGACGGTTGCAGCATCGCATTTGCACCATAGCCTCCTTCCGTATGCCTCCCTGCATTTGCGTCAATCCACACCCTCCTTCCCTCAGTCTCCTTGCACTTGCACCGTGGCCTCCTTCTCTTGTCCTCCCTGCATCATACCACGCCCTCCTTTCCTTGGCCTCCCTGTGCTTGCACAAGCTCATGCTATGCTCTCCATCCCTCAGCCTCCCTGCAATGGTGCTGACCTGTCCCCTCCATCCCTCAGTCTCCCTGCATTCACGCCACATAGTCCCCTCCCCAACTCGTGTGTGGCCTGCACTAGGCCTCCCCCCCCCCGGTAGCACCCCAATGCTCCTTAACTGGGACTCTGCCACTTCCCACTTAACGACCTGCATGTCTTGGGGTTATAAGGGCTACCTGTACGTGTGTTTGCTCTTTATAAAAAAATGTAATGAATAAATTTGTGTATTGCTGAGCAGCAGTCTCATTAAAGCCTTCCGTTCAGCAGATCATACTGTTGATATTCCAGGACAATGTTGTCCCTCTTAAATGATCCCTAGATTTGTCATTTAAAGAATTTGCCTTATGTAATAAGGCTGCCTCTCATGATACTTTGGTACCAGAGAAAAACATGCTGATGTGACATTTTTGGTAAGTCAGCTGAAAGCCTGAAACAATTACATTGCTATACGTTACTCACAATAGTGAAGAAATCCAAATGACAACACGATACAGTTACGAAAATGTATGCTGCAGTGTAATTAGGATTTACACAGACTTAAACATATAAAACCTTTCCATTGTTTTGTTTTTCTGCCTTGTAGTCATGAGACGCAGACTACCTGCTGGGATCATCCTAAAATGACAGAGCTCTACCAGTCTTTAGGTAAGAAAATTCTTCCTATTAAAGCCTTGAAATGTTAGAAATATTTTTATTGATCATAAAAGGCTTAATTTAGAATAAAATGGATAATTAAATGAGATGGCTTTTAAAAGAAGAGTGGATGGATGGATAACATCATATTTTATTTATTACTGATTATTGCTTTTTACTTACAGGGCAATCAGGACAGTAAATACAGCATATTTTTAGTTTTTCAATATTTATCTTTTACCTTGTCACAGGTTCTTTTTTTAAACTCTACCCAATTTCATTGATTTAGACTCAAAAGATCCACCGAAAGCACTGGATGCTAGACACTTGGATTTTTATCGCTTTATAAAATATACACTATTTTATAGACTGTATTCTACTAGTATTACTATACTACGCTCTATACTATTACTTCTATGCTATATTATATTATTACTATTTATTTATTTATTAAATTTCTCTCTGCCCATCTCCCCCCAGTGTGGGACTCTGGGCAGCTCACACAAAGCATTAAAACAATAAATATAAATACATAAAACATAAAAAAGAATACTACTATTATTATTAGCATACAACATTATTTTACTCTTACAGACCCTAGTCTTTAAATCCTTTCCCTCTCTCTTGGTTTTCTTCTTTTTTTTCTTCTTCTTTATTAATGGGTGGCATGTAAAGCACTTGCACCTTCCCAGTGTTGTGCTTGGCTTTCCCTTGCTGTGTCTCTTCTTTTTCCTCTGGACCCTTCAGTCTCTGTGAAAAGAAAAGAAAAAAACAACTTTTATTTGGCAGCTTTCTCTTTGTTGCTGCTGCAGAGCTTCCACAACATGTGTACCTCCTCCTCCACCTGTTTCAGGGTTGCAGCTTTTATCAGCAACTCTGCCATTTGAAGGCTCCAATAGGAGGGGAGGGAAGCAGCACAGGTGCCTGCTATTGTTCCTCGACAGCCTGCTCTTCCATGTACAGGTAGTCCCTGGGTTAAGAATGCCCAGGTTACAGACCCATGGTTAAGAACGGAGCCTGTTGTAGCAAAATTTGAGTTAAATACACAAAGGTTCGAGTTCATTACACAATACTACTTATACAGTATTATACAATAATACTCTTGCAGCTTACATACAAATTCGACAGACCTTGGAAATGGAACTCATTCTTAAACTGGGGACTGTCTGTACCTAAAAGAATCTAATTTCCCTTTTTTCCAGATTTCTATTAATCAGTACATATTTTTCCTCTCCTCTCTTTTTCAACTATAAAAAAGCCATTTGGTCAGTTAGTTGTTGACTAATGGAAGTCAGTTCTTAGTTTTATAGAATATAGTAATTGGAATTAGCATCCCTATTTACAGTGTTGTCCTGAGCATTGAGATTGGTTGCAAAGGCAATTATGTATGCTTTCTCTATATGATGGTGGCAATCTTTGACCCATTTGCTGGATATGACCAAGTTTCTCTCTTCCGTAACATTTATTTAAGTGAGAGACAAACATTGTGGTGAAGGAAGATTAAATCTTAGTCCCCGATCTCTCTCACTTCTTAACTGATTGAGGAGAAAGAGATGAATAGGAGGAAAAAATAATAATTGGCTTCATAGCCCTCTTTTCCTGGGAGCTAGATTTTCCCAAGTCATGAATGCAGAATGCCAATAACCAATTGCCACATGTCACCAGGTGTGAGAGGTCCAAGCAGCAGAGTTTGTGCTAGACTGTAGGAAAGGCAAGAGAAGTGAAGGATTTAGATTAAGAGTATAGGAAGGGGGCAAAACTTAATTCTTTCACTTAGCAATCAACTGCTTCTGTCTTATGGCATAATAAGGATTTGAGTCTCTGGGAAGATCCAGCCAAGTTCAAGCCAGCTAAGGAAGGGAGCCAGACATATATTCTTCACTGTTCTGCTATTTTGCAGCATTCAGCTGAGTTGGGATATGGTAAAATCATGGACATATGATCTCTAAACATCACCTTTCTTGCCTAAAGTCAGTATAAAAGGGTCCTGGGTTTTCTCAGTGCAAATGAAATTCTGTCTTCCACCCTAGCTCTTCTCTTAAAAAGCATAATTGTGGTGGTATTTAGAAGAGCTGCTTTTTTAGCAACATAAAACTCTCTTCTGTGTTTTGAAATGCATTGTTTTTATTCTGTTTTTCAGTTGCTAGAGACAGGATTTCCTTTATTAAGAAAATCAGCCAATATAAAGAGTTGTTCATTTATATGATGGGTAGAGAACTTGTGGCTCCCCAGATTGTTCAGCTACAACCCATAGCATTCCTTCCCATGTTCATGCTCCTTTGTATCGTTGAGCCATATAGCTTAGCATGGAATAGCACTGTGATTCTGTAGAAGGATCAGTGTGGTGGTGAAAGGCACCACCCCATATACATGTAAATTGCATTCACTACCAAATCTATGAGATGCTCCCCACCATACATGTGAACTGGTTAAAGTGCCCTTGTAAGAAAACATTCACAGAAAGCTGAATTGACCCTGACTGGTGACAGGGAGAGGACTCAGTCAGGAACCTGTGGCGCAATAAACCAAACTGTTTCTATTCACTGACCATATCTTAAAGATAGTATGGCTAGCATGCTGCCCTAGCAGGAAGGGATAAACGTGGATGGTTTTATCTAAAATATTCCAACATCACACTGTAATTTCCACTGTGTCTGTCTTTTTCTTTGTTTTGCCTTTGCCTTTCTTTGCCTTGCCACGCAGTGGCCCAAAGGCATATAAGTCCTGATTCTGCTTTTGTTCATGGCCACTCAGCAAAGTATCAAAGCTTTGCTGCAGGTCTAGTCTATACTGTATTATTGCTAATATGCATACAAATAAAATTATTTTGTGTCTTCAAAGTGATTTGGTTGCTTTAGGGAAACCAGGTTTTGGCCACAACGCTAATTTATTAATAACAAAGGGTAGAGATCTACCAAAATTAATGGTGTGTTTTAAGCACATTTCATATTTCAAAAAGTAATTAAGTAAATTCTTCTTTGAGTCATACTTGAGTCATAGTGACTACATGGACATGTCCAAGTGCTTTTCTGCAGCAATCTGGAAGTAGTTTGATGTGTTGCCACCTTCTGAGATCTTTTCCAACACCCCAGTCTAGCCTACAGCCCTGGTATTTCCAAATAGTCTCCCATGTAAATACTAAGCCTGATCCTGTTAAGCTGTTTAGAATAGTGGAAGATATACCTCTTCATTTAGCATTGCTGAAGGAAGCATTATAATTTTTCATTACTTTTGAATTAAAGTAGTCTTTCCTTGCCTAGTCATCCTCTGGATTATGAACTTCAGTTCCCAGAATTGTCTAGTCAGTATGGTCATTACTGAGATTTCTGGGAGTTGAAGTCAGTGCATCAACAGGGCATCATGTTGGGAAAGGCAAATTTAGATTAATAGTCTCCATTCAAAAGCCTAATAGTGTTTACTATTAGGTCAGTGGGAGGCAGCAGAAGTAGGCAGCAGTGGCGGAGTGCAGGGAAGCAAAAAGGGCAGAGATGGGGGAAATAGGTGGCTGTTGCAAAGGCCTCATGAAGGGCCAGCAGCTGCCTCGGCTGGGTGCACCTTGTCAGCAACGGGAGGAAGAAGACAGCAAAGGTTAGTGGGGGGGGGGTGGCGGGCTGCAGGGGTAGGCAGCAAAGTGCAAGGTGTCCAAAAGGACAGAGATTGGGGGGAGTTGAAGTGCATGCTGTGGTCATAAATGCAGGTAGGCTGCCAAGTGCCCAAATTTTGATCCTGTGACCATGGAGGTGCTGCACTGGCCGTAACTTCAAGGACCGGTCATAACTACCATTTGTTCAGCGCTTTTGTAACTTCAAATGGTCGCTTTACAAATAGTTGTTAAGCAAGGACTACCTGTAATCCAGCAGTACATTTCTAGTTCTCCCATTCAAAAAAGTTCCTTTTGAAAATGTGAGGACTCCAGAAAGCCTGAGACTTGTTCCAAGGAAAGTGGAGATAATAGGAAATAAGAATTGCTGAAAGTAGAATACAGGTATTTTGTGTAACCCACTTCCATCTCAAACAAGATTCCTCTGCTCTACTGTTAGTACTAATTGCAATGCCACATCCTAAACCTTTTTTAAGAGTCTTCTACATCCCAAGTTATTGCAGGTGTCACAGAAGAAGTTGACAGCCCTCTTATACAAGAGTGGAGTTTTGGTATTTTCTAAAAGCTGGTTTATTCAGTTTCTGGGTATATATATCTTGGGTTTCAAGATATTAGGCAGGTTTTCCTTCAGGTGGATCAGGGGACTGCAAGATAAACTCTTTATCATCTATTGTTTCTCACTGTGGATGCACAGTAGGTAAGTACAACATGGGGAGTGATGATTGCCATTTTGGGGCCACAAAGCAGCCATGTCTAGTTCTTTGTGCAAATGCTCATGTCTTTTTGTTTTGTTTTGTTTTTTCTTTTTAATGAAGCCAGTGGAAGGCACCTTTTTTTTTAGATTTTTTTTATAATCCTGCCTTTTATTATTTTTATAAATAACTCAAGGCAACCAACATACCTAATACACCGTCCTCTTCTTATTTTCCCCACAACAGCAACCCTGCGAGGTGAGTTGGGCTGAGAGTGAGTGACTGGCCCAAAGTCACCCAGCCGGCTTTCATGCCTAAGGCGGGACTGGAACTCACAGTCTTCTGGTTTCTAGCCTGGTGCCTTAACCACTAGACCAAACTGGCTCTCTTGCTCACAATCCATTGAAATAAAATAAAAAGTATAACAAACAAATTGAACTATGTGAGTCTTAATTCATTTACTCTTTAGCAAAATCTTTATTGTGCTTTCAGTTCTATTTTCCTTGGTTAGAACATATAATAAAAGTTTTATAATATATATTTCCTTGTTAACAGCTGGGAGTCCTAGCAAGCTACGGTGGTTTACAGGTCTAACAAATAAATAAAGAAAATACTTAAAGATCGTTTATCAAGATTTTGTGGTTTCTATTTTATACAAAAAGTTAGAATTAAAACACATTGATACTGGATGTTTATTATCCACATACTTCTGCTCCAGC